TATAATTATAAATATATGACTAAGTAAATTTCTTCTTAAAGATAATATCATGTGTTAAAAACCAGTCAGACAGTGTTTCTTACTGAAGAAAGTGAGTACACCTGCTAGGGTATCTTTTTATGTCATTTGGATAATAAAGTCATCATCATGCCCTCATGTGGATTCTGTAGACAAGAGGTTCTACATGTGGTCCCTTGATAATTGCCTAAATTAAAATATTAAAGGCCTAACAGCCGTTGCGTTGACCTTTTTCTGCCTTGCTGCAGACAGATGAGCTGCTGTTTATTACAAAGGTTCCTTCCCACAGGTGAAGATTTAAGTGAGATTCCAGGACCCTCTTTCCCACCCCCTTTGCAATGCAGTGTATTGGAGTCCTGCTGCTTCAACAGCTTTGATTAGAGCCCTCCATCCTTGTGATCCCCAGAATGCGTTTATCACTCTCGAGTTATTTTGATTAGTTTTTAAAAAATATTTCAGATTCCAGCACTCCAAAGCAGCAATTTAATAAATATTTATTCTCCAGAAATTGCTCATTTCAAAAGTTTTATATGGCTAACCTCATTGTTACAGTGATGAAATCAAACTGAGAGATGAAAACAAGAATCAGCAATATACTAACTAACTCGTTGGCTGGTTAACAGCAATCAGCCTCTTCAAAAGAAATTTTTGAACTTGTGTTATTTTTTTCCATGAATATTGCAGAATCAGAGCTTTAATTGGGGCTGTGTCCTTACAAAGCAAAGCCATGGAAAAAGCTGTGTAAACATTAAAGCCTCGGGGGAACAGCAGCAACAGAAAAAAAATGTTTTACAGTTGAGAGGGTGAGGTAGAGAAGGAAAGTGTTACAGACATGAAAACCACAGGATCAGTATTCCTATGGAGCTGATAAGCAGAGCTCCAAAGTTCCTGCATACTTCTATTTGAAGCCCTTGGAAAGGCTGTAGTAGAACATGAGGGATGTGATTACATAGAGATGCAGAAAGGGTGTGATTATAAGGGTCATCCTTCATGCCAGGTGTCAGTCAGAAAAATAATTACAACTGTATTTTATTACAGGGATTAAACCAGAGTTGGATACGTTTGGAGTTGAAGTTAGTGTGTAAAGCAGCCGAAATCATTAGAGAAGCCCTTGGAAAGGCTGTAGTAGAACATGAGGGATGTGATTACATAGAGATGCAGAAAGGGTGTGATTATAAGGGTCATCCTTCATGCCAGGTGTCAGTCAGAAAAATAATTACAACTGTATTTTATTACAGGGATTAAACCAGAGTTGGATACGTTTGGAGTTGAAGTTAGTGTGTAAAGCAGCCGAAATCATTAGATCAAATTTAATGTGTTTGCTGTGCATTCTAGGAGAACAAAAGAGAATATTGAGTATCAACTGAAGACTGCAGTCAAGTTTCTGTTAAAGGAGAGAATAATTTGCGAGTGTTTTTCCTGGTGGAGGAAAAAGCTCCTTTCCCTCCTTCCAGATTCTCTGAAAAGGAATAATTATTCTAGTTCTTCCAGAGTGAAAAATGTACATGATAAGCTTTGTGTGTTTTAAGGCTGACAGGTAGATTTGATCCTCATGTCGAAAATTTTTTTCTGCTATATATAAAATTATTTTTACTTCTTATTTTTGAAGGTACGTGTTGACAGTGGCATACAACAAGGAAGTGATATTAGCATTTATTATGATCCCATGATCTCAAAAGTGAGTTGATTATTCTTTTTCAATATTCTAAAAGTATGAAGCACTAATTTTATACTTCTATAAATGAGAGACAGCATGTTAAAAAGTTGGTATTCAGTGTCTTAAAGATGCCAGGCATAACATGCCTCAAGGGAATATGAGTGAAGTGAAGGAAGATGTGGAGTAGAGGACATTTAGTGTCACTTCTAAATAAAATTATTTTTACCTTTTGACACTATAATTATTTGTCTTGCAGTTGCTAATGATTAAAAATATTCTAATTTAAACAACAGCCATTATTGTTAGTTAGATGTTGCCAATCTACTTTTTTTAACATAGCCTGGCCAGGATGAAAATGTCAATAATTCTGGCTTCCAAAAAGAAGCACTGAAAGAAATGGTTGATAGTGTCTCTTAGTATTAGTTCTTATTCATCAGTAACATATTGGCAAAATTAAAATATGGCATTATAGTCAGAGTTCAGTTGTCAAAAAAAATTACATCTTAGAAGTTGGTTGGGCATTAGGAGTCAGGAGAGTCAACCTGGATATTGAATATCTGCTCTGATTTTTCTGAGAGCTTGCTTAGATGCTTTAAGTTTTATGAAGGAAAAGTGATTGGCCTTCCTTAATTGAATGTGTGAAGAGATCTTAGTTTTTTCTTGATGTTTTAGGGAGTCTCTGAAGCACAGATATAGTAATGTACAAGAAATGGTTTTGCAAATGGAGAAGTTGTATGCAACGTTTTACATTTTAATTGTTATTCAAATTCTAGAGACAAATGTCTGATTTCTAGGTAATGTAAATATCTTTTTTTTTTTTTTCCTCTAGCTGATTACCTATGGCTCTAATAGAGCTGAAGCACTGAAAAGAATGGAAGAGGCTTTGGACAATTACGTAATTCGAGGTAACTACAGAAATTTGGATTCCTAGTGTGATAGGCTGTCATCTATTTCAAGAAAACAGCTTGAAAACGTAGTAATTAGCAAATTGAGTAAAGTTCCCGCTTCTTAAGTGTAAATTAAAACAGGAAAAGCTTGTGTTAATTAAGCTGAGAAGATACATCAAATCTAAAGAGACTTCATTTTTTTTCTCCATTTTTTTTTTCCTTGAGTATTATGAGATAAATATTGAAATAATTTCCTTAAACTCATAAAGAGCTTTCATAGAATGGTAGCATGT